AGGAATTTGGGTACAGTTATCAATCATTTCAGTGTTAAGGGATACTTCAACTTACGTTGATATGGACGAAAGATAACATGATTTGACTTTTTAGCAGTGAGCGTTAACTTATTTGCATTGAGCTAGTAGAAGACTTTGGGCCGTTCGCTATTGACGGTTTTCTCAACAGATTTCAAATTAGTGGCAGCAAACAGCAAGTTCGCGTCATCAGCAAAGAGATAGAATGAGAATTTGGCTGAGGAGTTGTGAACACATTGTCGTTAATATAGATTAAGAATAATAGAGGATCAGGCACAGACTCCTGTGAGACTCCACGAGCTCATACATTCGCCCGTTAAATTAAGAGAAAGATAAAAATAACCGCTTAAAACTTTAAAGGAAGGTTAAAATAACATAACAGAAACAACAGATGCCACGGATGGGCAAAACTGAAGAAGATTGAAACGGATTGAAATTAGGGTTTTTGAAAACTGTTCAGCCTAACAGTTTTTCAAAGTTGACCCCTGCTGCTTGCAACTTCAAAGCTAATGCTCAGGAAACATATTTGTTTGTCACGGATCTCTGATTTTGTCATTTACATGTAATTTCTTTGCTTACTTTAAGTTCCCTAGCGATTGAGGGCGAGTAATTGGCAAAATTAAACAAAATGATCTGGACTCCCGTGACACAGCCCCTTTTTGAAGCTACAATCCTGGCCAAAAGGGTTTGGGACACCTCGCCTTTTTCAGTTGGTTTTGTATGGAATTTGCAGCAAACGTGCGATACACACTCATAAACACGGCCTTAACAAGATTTTTCCCCCACCCCCGTAAACAGAGTTGAGGTCCTTAAAGTGTACAAGATATGTAAAAGGTGTTTGACTTGCAATTGTAACACCCAACACTGTTCAGGGGGGAGGGGGGTCAACATGAATTACATTTTCCTCACCTAAAACGCAAAGTGTGCCAAACGTTTTGACCAGGATTGTAGATTAATGATCGACGGTATCAAAGGCCTTTTTTAAGTCTAAAAATATCCCGAAAGTGAAAAATTTTTGGTCCATATTGTTCTGAATGACATTAACACTGTCAACAATGGCATGTTGCGTGGAACTTTTTTTCGCGGAAGCCATAATGTGACTTAAATAGAATACCGTTTTTATCACGAAAGGATTTGAGGCGGTGGTACTTTAATTTTTCAAATATCCGATTGAAAATAGACAGTAATGATATCGAACGATAATTAGCTGGCTCAGGCTTATCGTCATTTTTGTACACAGGAACAACTTTCGGCCCGAAATAACGCATCTAGCGTCAGTTAAAATACGGATAGGACAAGAGTAGACACCGTCAGATTTATTTTTGAGGATCAAAAGTATCTCACGCTCAGGAGCTTGGATTATAATAAGGAGACCAGTATTCGGTAAAATTGCGAGATGAAAGTGGTGCGCGTGACGCTAGGTTTTCACCGACCCAAGAAAAGTAGTTATGGAAGATGTTAGAAATCTCAAGAGGATCATTAGAGACTTTACAAGCTCAATAAATACTCGCTTCAGTTCGACCACTGGTTTTTCATATACAGCGACGCAAGGTTGTTCAGTTTACCCTATCCACTGTTGTGGAATGAGTGTCGTATGAATTCAAAGCAAAGCTAATACTCCCACCAATCACGACGCCGACAAATCCAGCTAATGAACCAATCAGCTGAACTTAAAGTAAAACCATGTTAAGTCGAAACCAAAAAAGCGCGCAAACACTGAGCGAGAAGGACGTCACTCCTGATCAGCGGCGGAAAAAACAGGTTTTCTTGTTGTTGCAAAACATATTTTGTAGGTTAGCTATAATCTTGTTGTGGTTTGGGTATTGTCAGTGTCTTTTCAGTCTTCTGTATTATGTCATTTGGTGACTGCTGGCACACGTCCGCAACTCACCAAGAAATTAGCGGCAAAAGGGGCGCGATACCGCCTCAGATACAATACAGTATACACGAAGGACGCCCCTTTTAATATTTCTCAGGGTTTTCTGATTATCATGGACAATATTAAGAATGACGTAAAACGACAGAAAAATACAATGCATCTTAGTAAACTTAATTTTTTTGGGAGTTTACACCGTTGAAACTGTTGTTACCAACTGAATTCCCATGGTAAGAAGGATTTATCACATAACTGTATCAAATTAGGCAAACACCACAAAAGAAAAATGAACAGATTGATTAAAAAAATACAGAAACGTTTTATATGTAGACAATACAAAACGATTTTTAAAACAGATTACTTGTTTAGTAAAAGGCAAAAAAGCCCAAAAGACACACACACACAAGCATCATGAATATACCTACAAAATAAAGAGGAGAAAAGAAAAGCACTCTTACTTTCTGATTTATGATAGGAATAAACTTCAACCTCGCAGAGCGTCAACCAAATATTACGGCCAGGCAATCTGATGTACAAATATCTGCCATATGCTTTGGGACTACAGGAATATGTCTTGGAACTTCCTGTTGGGATTTGTTATTATTTGCACAAAGATGGTTGTTTGCTCCTCCATTTGTTGTATCATTTCCTTGCAAGGTGAATAAAAGAAAATATGAGGTAACATTNGAGTTTACACCGTTGAAACTGTTGTTACCAACTGAATTCCCATGGTAAGAAGGATTTATCACATAACTGTATCAAATTAGGCAAACACCACAAAAGAAAAATGAACAGATTGATTAAAAAAATACAGAAACGTTTTATATGTAGACAATACAAAACGATTTTTAAAACAGATTACTTGTTTAGTAAAAGGCAAAAAAGCCCAAAAGACACACACACACAAGCATCATGAATATACCTACAAAATAAAGAGGAGAAAAGAAAAGCACTCTTACTTTCTGATTTATGATAGGAATAAACTTCAACCTCGCAGAGCGTCAACCAAATATTACGGCCAGGCAATCTGATGTACAAATATCTGCCATATGCTTTGGGACTACAGGAATATGTCTTGGAACTTCCTGTTGGGATTTGTTATTATTTGCACAAAGATGGTTGTTTGCTCCTCCATTTGTTGTATCATTTCCTTGCAAGGTGAATAAAAGAAAATATGAGGTAACATTAACTGAAGTATTTGAACACAATAGTTGAAAAGGTAACAAAGAATATTGGCACTCGCTTCAAGATCAGGGGAGTGTTGCAATCTCACTTGCAAAACCTTTACATTGATATATAGAGTCTTTTCACTCACGTGGCCAGCACATATGCAAATTTATTGGAACAAAAGAAAGCTTTTGCATAAGAAAAGAGTTCAACTCCCAGAGGATTAGTTTGGGACACTAACATGGCCGCCGTTTCATTGTTTTGGGACACCAATATGGCCGCCGTGACGTCATGTGAAGACACTCTATATATTGGCTCACTCAAATAGAATCTGTGGAAATTTGACTTTCCATGAATGTAACTATGTAGGAAGAAAATGATATTGATACTAAATACATGTACACTTTTACAAAACACAGAGATCACTTTCGCACAATTTTCTTCTAAGAAATCTTAACTTAAAAGCCAATGGTAAAGTAATCTCATATTACACTGTAATTGGAATATTACAAAATGAACAACGAACAAATTTGAACAACTAGGTAAAGCAACTGATTACAGCATCTCCCACAATGACTACCTACCCACTCTTATCTCAGCTCCATCCAATCTGTATGCGAGTGTGTTTCTGTTGACTATATTTACTTCAGCTACAGGCTCTACTCGCCCCAGGTCTACTCGCCACCAAGCAGTGTTGTCTCGGAGAGTGTGTGTACATTTGTCGATGTCAGTACCCCTATCTCCATCCACTGCTTTGCTAGCAGAGAAGGATTTCCCTGGTTCAGTGTATGTACTTGACTGACTTGCGGGCTTGTTAAGGGCAATATTACTCGGAACTGAAAACCAAAACAGATAATAAAAATTACAGATAAATGCAGCAGGGTTGCAGGGTTGTGCTCTTGGCCTCAGCTCCTGGAGAACACTCCAGGGTCCTTACTTCTGTTCTTGGGCGACTAGAAAATCTCAGCTTTTGCATGGAAATCATATGTTGGGAACCCTGGATTTCACAGCTACAGAGCATTGGGCTCCTTAGAATTTTTCTTAGAGCACAGCCTTAAACAGAGGAAAATGAAGAATTGATCAGAAGGCCTTTCTGAATTGTTAATGTTCAAAGTACATGTATCATGTCAGCTGTACATATAGTGTGTCTGCAGTGTAGTATAAAAAATGGTCATGATAAGTATTTGATCGGTAGCTGTTCACAATCTCAACCTTTTAATTTTGACAGGTTGGTCACAAACTAGCCTGGAAATACACTAGCCATCTGATCTCTCTTTATTCCACACCACTAGAGACCTTTCACAGGAGAAACATCCGCAAAATGGCCCCCAAAATTCCATATAGATGACATGAATCAATGTTTACAAAATTAATCTTGTAGTCATCGGGTTCTAGATAATTGTTTGAGTTAAAGACTCTCATCGTCTATAATCGCAAAGTTTTGAGTTCTTCTGCGAAAAGCAGCAGCGAAACTCAAATTCTTCTTGTAAAGAAGATTATATTCCATGAATAATCCCTTTTTTAGTTGATTCATGGCATTTACTGTACATCTCTGTAACCTTTTGTCTTTTGTCTGTTATTCGTAAACAATGACTAAAAGAATAGAATGACTACTTTGACCAATCCCTATTCATTGACAAGATTCCAGATAAATTAAATCTGCATATGATTTTCAATATAGAATCTTTGGGGCGAAATTGCAGATAGCTCATTTCCTGCAAAATGTGTTTGGTTGCAAGGAGAAAGGCATATACAGTGAATTACTTGCAAAGACTGTATTTTAACAAGATTTTTAAAAAGAAAGAAAAAGATAATGGTTCAAGAGCTGATGTTGTCGCAAAAAGAAAAAGAATCTTTTCAATGATGTGAAGGAGGGTTCCACAACTGGTTAAAAAACTATATTCCTTAAAAACTGAACAATTTCTGCAATATATCAAACCTCTGCTTCTAGGTATGCCAGAAACTTCTACTCGTAAACATGCTCCACCTTGTGAAGACCCAACAACAAAACGCAAGTATCTGGCAACAAATGCACTGAACAAGATCCGTTTTTCTACTGTGTTCTGATCGAAGTTTCCATTGAATGTCTGGGTAACAAATCAAAAACAAAAAAACAAAAAAGCTTATCATTTTGGAGGTAATTCTTAAATAAAGATAGCGTTCAGTTTATTAAACCCAGGGCTGTCACTAAGTTGCAAGATATACGCAAATTATAGGTAAGGATTTGAAAAAGCTAGGAAATTCTATTGGTTGAGTTTGCTTTCCTTTTGTTTCATATGAAAGTAGCCAGGGGTCATACTGGTAGTAGGACATAGCTAGGAAATTCCTGGCTGGCTCTTAGTGACTTTCCTGTGAACCCAATGGGGTATCAACCTCTCACTCCCCACTCCCCGCTTCTGGATTCAATTAGCTTCACCCGGCATGGCATTTCTGCCTTAGATAACAAACTTTGCTCCTTTTCACGCTTGTCATTCTTCCACCTCAATATATATAAGTGCGACGAAGGTAACCTTGCAGCAAAAAATGGGTTTAGCTCTGGGAGTTGAAGTACCCCAACCCTCCCCCGCTTTCCCCATGCCCCACATCATCCCCACCTCTATTCTTTCATCTTGCCCTTCCTAAAAACACCTGTAATAGTAGTATTAAAGTTCCACTGAACAATAGAAGGGTAACCAATTTACGACTCAAGGCTAGGGTTGCTTTAACACTTTACGAAAGCAGACGGTGTCAGGATTACTAAGGAAACCAGATGAAATCTTGATATATATTACTTTACCCTCTACGAAGCTCACAACCCCTAGTGGTCCCCGGGGGGTACTCGATATATCCATGGGTGGGGAGGTGCGGCGCGGCCCCTCATACCCTGACCCTGTTTAAGACAAATATCGCTGATTTTCCTACCCTGTTTAAGACAGAATTCCGATTTTTGATACCCTGTTTAAGACATTTATCCTGTTTAAGACAAAAATTGATAAATCGATACCCTGATTAAGACAAAAAATGATAAATTCGATACCCTGTTTAAGACAAAAATCCCGAAAAACATACCCTAGCTGGCCGCACGTTCCCATTAAGCCCTTATAAGACTGAAAGAACGCTAATTAACTTTTTAAGCGACGTTCTTGTCGCCGTCGCGTCGTCGGATCTTAAAGTCCCTAATAAGTAGAGGTAATCATTGATTACGATCCGCATTCATCAATCGAGTAGAACTGGCAAAGCATACGGCCTTTGTACACGGAAAAATTTACATAAAGCAATAAAAGTAGAAAACAACAACAACAGAAACAAAAACATCTATTTTGTAAAACCTTCCTGGTTTTAGCTGTTGTCAGCTATTGTAGGTGTGCAGAATCAACTCTAACTTTAAAAATTCTTGGAATTTTAATTAAGCAAATTATGCAAAAATTACCCCCTAGACGGAGAGTCAGAGTTCTGCTGTGCGGAGTTCGATAAACCTCGCGTGGGAATAAACTTTCAGTCAAAGGCCCCTTTTACCCACAGAGAATACGTCAAGTGGTCGCTTACATACAGGATATTACACGGTTGCGCGAAGATATGAATTTTATTTTCGAGTGGCAAAACAATATTTTACGAACGAGCGCAGCGAGTGAGTAAAATATTGTTTTTGCCACGAGAAAATAAAATTCATATCTTCAAGCCGCCATGTAATGTTCTTTTTATTATATAGACAAAAAGACATCGATAAAATAGTAGAGGGAAATGACCGAAATTACGTCATCGATAAACTCACGTGTGAGATTATGGAAAATAAACCACTCGGGTCCCGGATGTAGTTTTTATGAATTTTACGAGTGGTGTATTTTCCAGTAAAACACTCTTGTCTATATAATAAAAGAGGTTAAACATAATAGAAAATCTTTAAACTTTCAGGCCCAGAGAGTGGACGCGGTCGCTTTAAGGAGGTGGTCGTTTTCTAGAAGTTGCAACTGTATAGGGCTTTGACGAGGAAAGTTTTGGTGTTTAGGATGGGGAGTCGCTTATGGCGTGGGAGATGGTCGCTTACGAGAGGTGGTCTCACATGGAGATTAAACTGTATATATTTTGTCCATTTCGCTTTTCATCTTCTTGAATTCTTCGTCTTGTAGTATTTTCTAAATAGTAATCTCGTCGAGGTACTTCAGGGTGGCAGGGTAAGCAATGAAAACCTTTCTTTCTTGCCCTAGCGTCTTCTATAGATTTTTTTTTCTATTTGAAAAAACTCTCTACAAAAGCATTTTTTCTTTTTAGAATGATGGGCCAGGCCATTAATGTAAATGCACCCTTTTACTTCAACTACATACAGCTATATCTTAGGATGATTACCATTGGTAAAACTGGCAAGCAAGAAAGGTCCAGTCAACATAATTCCACTGTCAATCAGAACTGTGTTTGCAGCAAGACCACAGGCTTATCCTAAGTAGGGTGGTAAGAAGAGATCGTCTTTTTTTTTGCAAAAACGCTAAGCTCACAAAAAAGCATTTTTCCCTTTTAAAGTGATGGACCAGGCCATTAATATATGCACCGTTTAACTTCAACTACCTTAACTTGTCCATTTTCTTCATAATCTGTCCAAGTTGTCCCATCTGTAGATGACTGTAGGGTGTAAGACTTCACCCACTGACTCCCCTGGGAATTCCCCTGAGTGGATACAGCACAGATGATATGGGAATCCGTAAGTCAATCTGTAGATATGGACTGCTGTCACTTGTGGACGCACACCATGATGATCCTGCTACGAACTTCAGTCGGCCATTCTTTGCTGGTGTGTTGGCATTCAGTTCAGAAGAAGCCTTTAACTGATTGTCGAGAATGTACCAGCTCACCCCTACATCAACCTGTTCACATGATGCTAAACAAAAAAGGATAAAACATTGAAATTACTGGTTGCCTAGAATCCATCCATGAGCTAGACCAATAACATCTTGTTCACACGAATGTTGAAACATACAGTATTACACCCGCGTATAAGAACCTACTTTTCTAAAGTCTGGCAAACTAGGATTTGTATTTTGGGGTACTTATTGGCAATTTAGGCTACGTAGGTTCTTAAGTAGTTTCTTAATTTCTGCGAAAGAGATATAGTTGTTGACTACAAGAAAAACAAAGAAACTTGAGTTTCGTCCTTAAATGTACAGTATATATTCACAATTGTACATTACAAAACTTGCATTTTTAATTGGTATAAGAGTCATTATAGGTAGTAGAATACTACGCGCTATTATGCACTAATTCCATTCACTTCTTTTGTTTACTTGTAGCTATTTTGCACTAGTTATTATTCTCTGTTTCACAGGTCAAGTAAAGTCACCGTAAAATGCCAAATCTCTGCCAGGATGTTCTTAATCCACAAGGTTCTTATACGCGGGTGTTTACTGTATTGCCTAGTAATTCAAGTTTTCCCATGTAAATATAGTCTGTATGTTTTTCATGAAACCTCTGTATAATTCATAATTGGAAACAAATTTGATTTTATGCTTCTCTGTTAGCGTTTACCTTCTAACCGGGCTTTTGAGACGAGTGTTTTTGGATCTTGTTCAGCCATTCGTTAACGCTCTCCGCTTTTCGTTAAAAAATTTCTTAACCGTTAAAGTTTTGCTTTGCTCGACTGTTCCACGCTTATCGTTATCTTTTTAAAGGGACATGGAATCCATTTAAAAGCTTGTGTTAACCGTCTACTATTTTCGTGTCAGCCGTGTACCATCCCTGCGTTTAATACAGGTGGCTGTTTTTCTTTCCAGGACACATTTCTTAGTGGTCCCTTGGTCCTTCTTTCCAAGATGTGCTTTTCTTTAATTTTTAAGCACAAATCAAGTTACAGCATTGCCTGAGGTCTCATTTCCGCAATGCGTGAAAAATAGAAGTTATTCTTCGGCCATTGTGATGCGACCAAAAATGCGTTTCAACTGAAGAGCTATACCACACAAACTTGATCACGGTCCGGAAAGAAGTCGGTAGAGATGATATGGGTGCACGGGGAAAATGGAAGGTTTATGGCTTTCTAAAAAATATTCATGGCAAATTGGATGAAAATAAATACGTCGCTGTTTGACTTGCATGATGTCTAACTATGCTTCACGGGGTAAACATGCAAAACATCGATATATTTTGGCTGTAAACTTACCAGATACCTTTCGTTGTCCCCAAAGACAAATTGCCACGAAGAAATATAAGATAATTTGCTTGTCATCCATGTGTTATCTTAACCAAAAAAAAAAGCAATGCAAAGTACAATTTGCGCACTGCCTTTTCAAGATTTGCCCCCCAATTAACGATTCGATTCAAGCACGGATTTTTTTGACCTTTCTCGTATGGCGTGACACATCTTTTAAGGAAGCAATACCCTTATATTTGACTTCCCTTTCAGCATCACTCCATCTTTGTTATCTATGTCTGTCGGATTTCAGCAGCAATCATTCAAAGATCTACCCAGGCATGTTGAGTGTCTTTTAGCAACGCGTCGGACATAAGTTTGTTCTCTTTCCATCCGCAAATTCGGTATCCCGACAGAACAAACTTTCATGCCATCTTTTCCTTGTTTCTTACAAAATGTTCAGCAAGTCGTGAGGCAGTTGTATCTATTAATTTCTCTGCGAATTGTGCAAATCAAAATAATCAAATAAGAATGAATTGAATAAATAGAAAAAAGGCAAACATAGTGGAATGATAGTTACAAAAATGAAAAAAAAAATCTTCATTTAGTTGATATTAAGGAGAAATGGTGTTTGACCTTTTCGAACCTAAGTGAGAGGCCCGGGGGGTGGGGTACTACCATATATGGGCTATATAGGTATGTGCCGCTGTGAAGGGTATGGTTTTCAAGCAGTTTACTCTAGGGTATATAAATAGAGCGTTTGGGTCTACAATAGGGTATCATTTTTCAGGAAACTGATCAGTGCGTTGAAGATTTTATCTGGACTAGGGATTGTGGTATAAGGTTTTGTTTTGGCTAGACTTTGCTCGTGACCTCAGTAGTTTCTGGAAAACAGCCACTCTAGGATAGGAGGGATTTGGGGGTTTACTCTAGTATAGGGTAGCAAAATTCAGCTGAACTAGCTCTGGTATAGGTTAAGGGTTCCACGATCCCAGCGGCACATCCCCACCCAGAAATTCCTAAAGTACCCCCCCCCCTGGGGTGATATGTCATGCACCATCAAAGAGGCCGGTGCTGTCGTCGTGACACTTTGAGAACCATCGTGATGATTTTGGGCGTACGCTCCAGCAATTCTTCCTTTCTTTCTTTGTTTTTTTAAAGAATTGTTGACAGTTTATGTTTCCGACCCACCTGATCATGACTCACACAAAGTAACAATAGTCTGATCTTAATGGACTGCATTAGCGGCTAATTTCGTTGATTCAGACGTAAGGGTATTGTAATTTAATATGTAAATGCCCTCAAGCATTAATTGACGGTTATTCTCTTATTAGCAAACCAAGAAAATCAGCCAAGGGCGGGGGAGTTGGCGCCTATATTTCATCTTCAGTGCCGTATCATCGAAGATTGGACTTAGAGCTTAAGACAATATTGAATGTCTGTGGATAGAAGTTTTATTTCCTAAATCTAAAGGTTTTCTCATTGGATTTATTTATCGTCCTCCAGATTCATCGAAACATCTTTCAAAAAAATTTTACTTGTAAATTGGAATCAACGCTTACGAACATCTCTTTGGAGAACAAAGAATGCATTTTAACAGGGGACATGAATTGTAATTATTTGGTCGACTCAGGCCACAAAGAATTGAAATCCATTTTGACTGCCTTCGGATTAAAACAGCTCATTAAAGATCCCACGAGAGTTACACACGATTCAAGGTCTTTGATTGACGTCATCTACACCAACGAACCCTGGAATATTTATTCTGTCAAAGTAATTCCAGCGCTGCTGGTTTGAGTGATCATGATTTAGTCGGCTGTACTCGAAAGATTCACAACTTCAAATATCAACCCAAGTTGATAACGTGCAGAAATTATGCGAATTATGACCCTGTGGCCTTTTGTAACGATTTGAGATCCAGTGACTTTGGCTTTGTTTTTACATCATCTTGTGTAAATGATGCGTGCTCTCGCTTTAAGTGCATTCTGCAGCAGTCTATAGATAAACATGCCCCTCTAATCACCAAGAAAATAAAAGGTCGTCTATGTCCTTGGATGCCTAGTGACGTCAAAAGTGAAATGAATCTGAGGGATCAACTACTCAGAAAAGCTCGTAGGACAAATCGTGAGATTGACTGGTCATCTTACAAACGACAACGCAACAAAGTGAATAGCCAAGTGAAAAAATGTAAGAGCAATTACTGTAAAGATCTATTGCAATACAAAGCCTCTTCTCCAGATAAATTTTGGTCAGCAATCAAGAAGTTGTACCCAACAACAATTACAACAGCTTACAACAGGGTCTGCGGCAGCTATAAATATAAACGGAACTAAAACGTCAAACACATCCTCTATTGCCCAGGGCTTTTGTGACTTCTTTTCCACTATAGCTGGTGTTTCGAAGACCAAGAGTTTTCCGCTTTGCAATTTTGTCTGGGGTAAGCCTGTAAATTCATGTGAAACCACGTCACCTGAACATTTTGTTTTTAGTTCAGTCTCCAATGATGAAGTCTTCAGAGAGCTGAGAAATCTTAAAAGAAATAAATCGACCGGCCTGGATAATCTTCCCCCTGGAATGTTAA